CGGAGGAGGGGGAGGAGGACGGCCTTCTTTTTTTTTTCCGTTCGCCGTTCGCGACAACTGCCTAAGGTCGCCGAAGATGTGCCCTGCCCCAAACAGCCAAAAGGCCGAAGAAGATAAAGATCGCCGTTAACTGCCGAAGGTCGACTGATGCAAGAAAAGAAGAAGAAGAAGAAGAAGAAGAAGAAGAAGAAGAAGAAGAAGAAGAAGAAGAAGAAGAAGAAGAGGAGGAGGAGGGGGGGACAAAGGGGAAGACGAAGAAGAGAAGAGGAGCGGAGGAGGGGGAGGAGGACGGCCTTTTTTTTTTCCCGTTCGCCGTTCGCGACAACTGCCTAAGGTCGCCGAAGATGTGCCCTGCCCCAAACAGCCAAAAGGCCGAAGAAGATAAGGATCGCCGTTAACTGCCGAAGGTCGACTGATGCAAGAAGAAGAAGAAGAAGAAGAAGAAGAAGAAGAGGAGGGCGGGACAAAGGGGAAGACGAAGAAGAAGAAGAAAGATTGAGGGGGAAGAAAAAGAAGAAGAAGAAGAAGAAGAAGAAGACAAGGAGAAGGTTCGACGTGTCTGACGGCCTCCCTTCTGTAATTCTTACCTTCCGAGTCTCGCACGACCTAACCAACGTCCACGGTACACAAGCAGAAGTAGAAGAAGAAGAAGAAGAAGAAGAAGAATGGCAGCAGCTCCTGCGAACGGAGACGGGCGAAGGGGGCAGCTCCTGCAAACGGCGACGGGCGACGACGACCGGCTCCAGCTGATGACGACGACGTAGGCTTAGGGGGCCCAGGGACCGACCGGGTGCACTGCCCGGCCAAGCCGCCCCGGACCCCACCCGGCCCCCCGCCGGTCCGCCGGGCGGCCCGGTACCCCACCCAGTTTATTTCTTTTTATTTTTCTTGTTGTGCAGATTAAAATTGAAGTGTGGCCGTGGAATTTACAACTGTCATTTAAAGTTGATTGTGTGGCAGTCACAATTCTGAATATGGCATACCTCTGGAACTGTCTGCGTGCATCAATCCTCACCCGATTTATTCCTCTTCTTTTCTCCCCAATTTCTATTACGTTCTTCGCCGATGAGGAAGGCAGGGAAGTGCGAACTCGTGGCGAGATTGAAGGAAGACAGCAGTAGATGCTGGGCCGTCTTCACCAGCTGCTCACTGAAATGCATGACGCTGGGCCAGAAGCTGAGCGGCATGTTCACAGTCAGTTCGATCTGCGTGCTGCAGAAGACGAACTTACAAGGGCTGAAACTGTCGTGCAGATGCTGGAGACCAGCGGGCGAGTGCAGCAGATAATTGATCGGGGAAGAATGGCCCTTGATCAATTCGTTGTTGAGCTGCTAGCGAAGATCTCCGATGAAGTGGCCAAAGAGGAAGACAAAGGGGAGGGAAGTGAGAAAAAAGAAGAACCTCAACTGACTAAGGAAATAATGGATGACACAATCAAACAATTGCAAGCTGCGTTAGGCGCAGAAATGAGAAAGAAAAAAGATTACCAGAGGCGGAAAAGAGAAAAGGAACATTAGGAGAAAAAGGTAGAAAAAATTAAACTGAAATTTCATTTGGAGGAAACAGAAACTGACTTGGCATCCGTTCTACAGAATATGATGGCCTACTTGGCACTCCTCGAGTTGAAGATTGATAATGTCACCGCTGAATTACAGACGGTGACCAGACTGGTCAAAGGTAAGAACACGGTTGTGCATGAGGAGGAGGTCGGAGAGGAGAAACAAAAAAAGAAGGTAGAGTCTCATGAGAAATTGATGAAGGATGCCAGGAAAACTCAAAAAGAATCCGAACCCTCAAAGAAGGAGACCCCAAAGAAGGAAGAAGAGGAACGCCCGAAAAGGAAAGAAAAGATTAAGATGAAATTGCCTTTCACATATAACGGTAAGTAAGGGGAACACTTGTTATTGTGGATTGCGGAGATCCAAACGTATTGTGGTACTGCTCCAGTCGAACCGAGTCAAGTTGCCTTTTGCACCTCATGTCGGGGGGAAGTTGCGAAGGAGCGGGGGTTGTCCGAGGCCAATGCTGTTGGGTTCGAGGACATTGGTGAATGGGCAAAAACTATGACCCTGCGGGAATTTCTCCAGAAAATTAAAAAGAGATTCTTCGATAAGACGACGACCGATAAGGCCTTTGATGAACTCACCACCATTAGCCATAAGTGTTTGACCACTGCCGATTCTTTGTCACGTGAGGTTGATCGTTTGTCGCAGGTACCTGGACTGAACTTCCAAGACAACCAGGTTCTTTGCATCTACTCGCGTGCTCTGCCCAAGCCCATACGCGGACAGCTCGTGGCGGAAAGCAAATCTGGTAAGTACAACTATCGTCAGTCCCGCAACCTCGCGCTCCACAGGGAGCAGATCTGCACAGGTAAAGGGCACCTATGCGTCTGTTATGAGAGGTGGACCGACAGGTGGGTTTGGGAATGGGAAGAGAGTCTTGTGGAGACAGAAGCGCCAAGGCCACACTCTCGACGTATTTGATGACGAGACTGTTGAGAGATGGCCCCTAGAAGAGGCATGGGGCGAAGCAAGTAGCAGCGGCGAGTTTGGAAAGGGTGACGTCGCCGCCACGGTGGCCAATAAGGGTGGCACCAATAGGGAGGATATAAGAAGAGGGGGTCACGCTCCTTTCCAGAGTATCATGGCATTGCATATGGTCGGCCTTGGGAAATTATGAGCCTCACCCAAAAGGAATGGCAGGAGCGTATGGATAACCGGCAGTGCCTGAAGTGTGGCACTGCAAGACACATCATTGCATTGTGTCTCCTCATCCGAAACCCACAAGGGAGCAGCCAGTAGGAGTAGCATCTCCTCCTACTGAGTTGGAGGGTTTAGTCGAAGGTAAGGCGCCTACAACCCCTTTCAACCCCCCGACTCACAAGGCAGAGGATGGCTCTTCTTCAGCCCGTCACCCAGAACACAGACTTGTGTTATGTCACACTGGGTGATACCCTTGATGAACTTGGTTGCGAACTCACAGCATTAAAAGTGCATGGGCTAAGAAAGCAAAGTCTAAGGGTGAACTAATGATTGTTGACGCGCACTCGCGTAGGTGTATTGTTAGATCCGGGATCAACACGGTCCTACATCTCAAAGAAAGCAATTCGTAAGTTGCATCTTGGAATGAGAGTGCAGAATGTGTCTAGACCTATCACGTTTATGCTTGCTGACAAGAGCACGATCATTGTCTCTCAGTTTGTTGATCGTGTCAAATGTTATTTGAGAACGAGGGAAGGAAAAAGAATATTGCATGAAGTCACCTTGTAGAAAAGAATCTACCCTTTGACATGATTCGGGGAATGGATTGGCACGAAGAGGCTGACCCAGATGTCAAGTTTAAGGATAAGATTGTTAAACTAAGGGATGGAAAATCCAATCTACACTCGATTAAACTATTTCACAAGTCTGGTTTTGACTCATCATTGTCTTTCTTTTGTATGAGTCTACCTGCTTTTCGAAGTATGGTCACGAAAAAAAAGTTGGCACAGTACGCAATGATGGTACTCGTCAAACGAGTCGGTGAGTGTTCTCCGTCCTATCCTCCTTCTATCAACAAACTACGAGAGCGATAGACAGAAATCCAAGTTGCAAAATCACGGAGCAGTCCAGATAGTCATGTACCAAGCAGTGAGCACAATGCACCAAGATACCATCCAAATAAGAGCAATACAATGAACTGGAGTGCCAATGTCAGCGGTCTCTGGTCACACCAACACTATATCCAATCTTGCTCCTACTATCTGGTGCCCAGCGCCCAGACTACACTACTCAGCCTATCTATCTTATCTACGTTCATGCGACTGGATCACAACGAAGTTGAAGACCATTGTACATGACATCATCACCAATGCAGACCGCCAGCGTACACCAGGTACGTTCTTTCTCCTCCCCTCACCCTACCCTGTCTCCCCTCTGCATGCGCCTCCTACCCGAAGACCACCATCGCCATCACCTGCCTGCGCCCCAGCAGCCCGGCTATGACCACCGTGCGCCTACTGCCTCAGCAGCACCCTCTTACCTCTCAGTGCCCATATGCGCCCCAGCCTGTCAGCGCTAAGCAGTGCTCCCTCGACAACGCAGCAGCGTGGCCGCATTGCTTGGCAGGCCAGAATGCCCTGCCCAGGGGCCACACACTTTCCTTTATGGAAAGTGTGCCCGCTGCTGGCTAGCCTGGCCAGGCGAGTGGGGGCCCAGTAGCTTCAGTCTGGCCCCAAGTGTCTGCGCCCAGGCCCAGTTTCAGATACTGGCCTGGGCCTCGTGCAGTTAGGCACGTTCAGGCAGCCACCCAGCCTCCAAGTGTTCGCAGCATTCTCATTGGCTTGTGGTGCACGTGTGACGACAATGCTGCTCTCTCATTGGCCCGCGGTCAGTCCGAATTTTTTTCAGCCTCACACCGTATGTGCCCAGGGTGAAACCACCTGAGCCCCTGGGCTCAACTGTACAGCGCAGCCCTTGCTTCTGGAAAGAGCCTGGAGGCTCACGTTGCTCTGTAACCAACTGGCGTGCTGCAACTGTCTGATTCCCCACATATGGAAAAATAACAAAAATAGGCCTCAGATGGATATTCAGGCCCGCCTTCACTTAAGGCGGGCACGAGGTTGCTAGGGGCCACAGCCCAGAACACTTGCATGTCTGATAAGGGCCCCGCGACGGCTGATTCCTTGCACATTATATTATACAAGCCGGGAAACGGGCCCGGTGTTGCTCATGTTGTTGTTGAGGCCCTCCCTCGAACAAGGCATTATCGGCCAAGGTCATTGCCAACATCTTTTGACCTTTTTCCCCAAATAAATGATTTGGGGCTTTCATTTCTGTTTTGGGAAGTGCCTTTCATATCTTCATGGGTAACTATTCGTGTTTCTTTTTTTTGCTTCATCGGCATCCTTTGATCGGTACCAAAGCAGTTCTCTCTTGATGAGCACCATGTGGCCCCACTCACTTTCCAGTGTTTCCACTCTTCTTTTTTTTGGGGGGCGGTGCTCACTTCCCATTATCAGTGAGAGTTCCTACCGGTAATGCATTCCATGGTGCATCTTGGAGGGAGACGAGAGGTGCAAATTTCAACGGAAGACGCACGCAAACATGGAAGGATCGAAATGGCGAGTCATTATTCTGTGTTTCCTCTTTTACCCTTTTTTTTCCCTCTTTCCGTTTCTTTTTCTCCTTCTCTTTCTTTTCTTCCGTATTCTTAAGGGCCCCGCTCCCCTCCTCAACACTCCAGATGTATATGGAGCTCATGGTTGTCCCAATACATTGGAAATGTTGGAACGCTCCAAACGCACCTGTTCCAGAAAGGCGTCAAAGTGCATCTAGAATGTTGAGTAGCGGAGTGAAGCCCAAAGTTCTCCTCTTTTCTTTTTCTTGCTTTTCCGTCCGAGGGCTTCTCATACACGTGTCACCCTGCAGAACAAGTCCCATCTTATGCGACCGAGATAGAGAGGTGGAGAGAGGTGAACACCATGAAAAAGAAGCTCGAGAAAAGCCCAGGAACGATGCATAGAAGATCAGGATGGGGATGCTACAGAAGTCAAGAAAAGGCCCAAAAGGGTCCAAATTAATTATTAATAATATAAAATTAAAAATAAAAAAAAAAACATAAACGAGATATGGTTCAAATGGAAAATTTAACCAAAACGAAAAAAAAAAAACTGAATCCGCAGAGAAGACGGAGGAGAGTCCAGGAACAAGACGACGGTCCTGGAAAGAGTTGGTGTCCTGGAGAGATGAAGGAGGCGAGAGGTGGAGAGAGGTGACGACAGTGGAAATTTCCAAGAAAGAGTTCATAAACACATCCTGGAGGGAAGACAATGGAGAGTCCTGTGGGAGAGAGAGACTATCATGCCAGAACAGAGAGAGTTGATGTCCTGCAAACGAGATGGAAGTGACCCCTCGAGAGAGACTATATTTCTTTAGTCCTGGCAAGACCTGACCTCTTCATTCTGGCTTCAGGGCAAATGAAAGCTCTTCAGTTGTCAGAGGAGTATTGGATTGGGGAGCAGAGACTGAGAGAGAGGGGGAGGAACAGGGAGAGGAAAAGGGAGAGGCAGAGGGAGAGGCAGAGGGAGAGGCAGAGGGACAGGGAAATGGAGAGGACGAGGGAGAAGAAGAGGGAGAGGCAGAGGGAGAGGGAAACGGAGAGTGAGAAGGAGGGAGAGGGAGGGAGAGGGAGAGGGAGAGAGGGAGAGAGGGAGAAAGAGGGAGAGGGAGAGGGAGAGGGTGAGGGAGAGGGAGAGAAAGGGAGGGGGGAATGTGAGATCGATGGCAAGCAGTCCCAGAACGTCACTTCAACATGGAGAGAGAGAGAGAGAGAGAGAGAGAGAGAGAGAGAGAGAGAGAGAGAGAGAGAGAGAGAGAGAGAGNAGAGAGAGAGAGAGAGAGAGAGAGAGAGAGAGAGAGAGAGAGAGAGAGAGAGAGAGAGAGAGAGCTGACCTGCATAGAGGGATCGTGATGGCCACACAGAGAACGAGAGGGAAAGGGAAAGATGGAGGAATGGCACCAAGGAAACCCAAGGGGAACTCTGTTCTGCCAACAGCAGTGCCAGAGGTAATCTGAGACCTGAAAGCATACGCTGCATGCACGCAGCCCCCACAAGTCCTTTTCCCTCCCTCTCCTTCTGGCTTATAACTAAGAGATTCCTTCCTGCCTGTCCGTGCCTTTCCTGCAATGCTGACATCGACAAGAAACCAGTATAACAAGAAGAGCCAGCAGAGCCAGCGTGGCTCCGCCCGCGTTACAAAGAGATATTAATGAAATTGAGATTAGTGTGTATGAAACCTCCAATTGGATTTGAATTTTGAATACCGGAACCGAAAAATGGGGGGTTGGCAGGTAAAAAAAAAAAAAAAAAAACACTATGGTCAATTGTTTGAAAAGCAAACATAGATTTTTAGCCTTTAGGTCTTTGGAACGAAGAATGATCCCCCTGTACACCCTAATCCCCCCAAGTAGACTACAGTGGAGTAGAGTAGCGTAGAGTAGACAGTATAATAGAGTAGAGAGTATAGGAGTAGAGTAGAGAGTAGAGTACAGGGTAGAGAAGAGTGGAGCAGAGAGCAGGGAGTAGAGTAGAGAGTAGCTGAGAGTAGAGAGTAGAGTACATGGTAGAGAAGAGTAGAGCATAGAATAAAGTGGAATAGAGAATAGAGAGTATAATAGTGGAATAGAGCGTAGAGAGTTGTGTAGAGGGGAATACAGAGTAGAGAGTAGAGAGAGTATTGAGTGTAGATATAGTGTAGAGTAGAGAGAAGACAGTAGAGAAGAGAGTTGAGAGCAGTGTAAAGCAGCTAGCAGAGAGTAGAGCCGAGAATAGTTTAGTGTCGAGTGATGTAGAGTACAGCATAGTTGCATAGAGTAGAGTAGATAGTAGGGTAGAGTAAAGTAGAGAGAGCGGTACGGCAGATAGTATAGTGCAGAGAGTACAGAGTAGTGTAGAGTAGAGAGTATAGTGTAGAGTTGAGTAGAGAGTAGTGTGGGGTAGAGAAGAGAGTAGAGAGTAGTCTAGAGTGGAGTAGAGAGTTGTCTAGAGTGGAGTAGAGAGTAGCGTCAGGTAGAGGGTAGAGTAGTGTGAGTAGAATAAAAGTACAGCAGAATAGTGTAGAGTAGAGCATAGATAGCAGAGCAGAGTACACAGTAGAGAGCAGGCAGCAGAGAGTAGCGTAGCAAACAGAGTACAGAGCAGAGAGTAGAGAGTAGAGAGTACAGTAGAGATCAGACAAGAGAGCAGAGAGCAGAGAGCAGAGAGCAGAGAGCAGAGAGTAGAGAGTAGCATAGAGTAGAGAGTAGAGAATAGAGTGGCATAGAGTTCAAAGAAGAGAACAGGGGTGGCGTAGAGTTCAGAGTAGAGAGTACAGTACAGTACAGGGGAGGAGAAAGTAGAGTAGAGAGCAGAGCAGCATAGAGGGCCTCACGGAGAAGAACAGCATTGATTACTACTCACCAAGAGAAACAGGGCGCGCTGGCCATCTAGTGGCTCAGTTTGCCCATTTGTTTTCCCTGGGCATACGGCCTCCCCACACTACTCACCAAATTCACCAGCCATGCGAATTCGCAGCTTCTTGTGAAAGATTCATTCTCATTTTGCTTTGCACATTTGGTGAGTGGTGCAGCAAGGCCCACACTCACACCAGGACTTTTTCAACTTGCCTGTGGTCGTAATTCCGGTCAGGTGCATCCAAGTCGGGCCATGAAAAAAGGCCAGATGCATCCAGGAAAGTCCTCATGGGACTTTTTCAACTCACCTACGGAACGTCGGGCAGTAAAAGAGGTCAGATGTGTCCAGGAAAGTGCTCACTTGAGTATGCCCTGAGTCCAGCGTTCGGGCTTCAATGCGCAGCTGCTCTTTCCTTTTATCCCCCCAGTTTGGCAGCAGCCTTGAGATATCATCATCGCACTGACCATCCTGGCAATTCAGAAGGATTTTGTTCTGTTAGACTGATTGCTAGGTGACCTGTTACACCGCTGAACCTTTTTTCTTTCTTTTACCGCGAGCATTTTCCACGAAAATCATCGTTTCTTGTTTTGGATTGTGTGAAATGACCTGTTACAAATTTGCAGCCCGAGAACTCCGAACTTTTCGGGAAAAGTCCGAAAAACGTTTTTCCTGCCCCATTAATCTGTTTGCTTAAGATTCCGATTCTGAGTCGGTTTGCTGCGTTTGCTGAATGTGTTTGTGATCAGCCAATCTTGTATGGATCCCAGATGCTTACATGGAGAGTTTTGATTCTTTGGGTGTGTGCATACGGAAATGCACATATGTCTGGGTGTGAGGGTCAGTTCGGTGGGCGGAGATGGGGTAATTAAGAATTGGCACGTGCGCTGAGATGGTGTGATTGCAAAATGGCCAGGGGCAGTTGTTGGGAAGTCCCCTTCGATTATAACAGTGCCACTGTTTTGGTAAGAAGGTCTGCTAATAAATGAATGAAGTAATCAGAATCCAGTCTGCTTGGCAGTTGCTGTTCGCCCAGGGTGGTTGCCAGAAGTAGTGTTCTCATGTGAGCCGTCATGCTGGGCGTGCAGCATTTCCT